CATAGATACTGTAGCCTAGTTTTGTCCATATCGACAGGCACACATTTTTATTTATTGATTTTGCAACAGTTTTTCTTGTTGGAAATGCTTTTTACTTCATTTTACAGAATCATGAACAACCACTTCATCTGAGGTCTTCCTGAGAATTTCCTGATGATGATGGCAAGAAACACCATTGACGAATTGCATCTTCGAAGAAAGAAGAAAACCAGATCATGTGTGGCATGCCAATTTTTTTCCAAACCAAACGGTTCTTTTCAGAACCACCAAATTACAAATGAGATTTGAAGTTGTCTTCTTTGCTTGTCATTATTCTAAATATTTGAAAAGTAAAACAATTACCCTAACAGTATTAACTCACTTCATCATACTCACTATCTGATCAAAATTATGTACATTCATCACTTCACTAAAATTTCATCTGTGCATGATGCAGGATACATTTTAATCAACAAACAAATATTACACTTACGGTACCGTTAAGTCTCACCTGTGTATTTATTACCAAATTAAATTTCTACTCTTTACATAAAGCCCATCCAATAATTTATGACAGTTCCTTCCTTTTTTAAAACTTTGCCACTTTCATTCTTTTAACATACACTTTTAAAAAAGCATGGTTTTTATCCAACATTTACAACTATGCAGCAGTTGCTTTAAAGCATTAAAAAATTGCGTCTCCAGGTCTTTTGCCAATAAAATAACATGCTTTGTATTATGTGATGGGTCAATGTCAATAGCCTTTCACCCCTCCAATAATAGCATCGTCTTCCAAAAATTTACTTGCCGGTCTATCAACACCTGAATAATAAAAGTGCATCCCTGTGAAAATTTACCATTTACAGTAGTCAGTATATCATAGTTTTTAATGAAATGGGTGGTGGAGAATTATCATAATATATTAATTTTTATATATAGTTAATCAGTAAAGAATATAATAAAAATGAAAAATATTAAATTTAGTATTGACACACAAATTATCATAACCTAGGCCTAGCTACTAGGCTGCATAATTACAGGCCCTAGTCTATCAGCAAGTAGTGTTGGCCTATGGTAGGCTCTACACTAGGCCTACTAACTTTTATTATTAATGAATTAGAGAATGTTAATATTGCCTAGGGCCTTAATTGTGTTTTGGTACTGGCCATCATGGCAGGTACCAGTAGTAAGTAGTAAGCTAAGGCCTAGTATTCACTAAAACTAACATAGCTAGGCCTAGACCTTTTTAATTAAATATCAAAGATCAAGAAGATCGTGTAGGCTCCTCCTTCCTAGGCCGATCCTTGGCTATTCCCAGATCTACTCCCGGTCTAGGTCTACCTAGGCTGCAACCTGCCCTGTAGGCTGAAAATAATACACTTGCACACTCTCTTCGAAACACACATGCCAATTAAAACATCACCATTTAATTGGTTTATTTTTCCTGTTGCCTCCAGTTTCTATAGGCCTAATTAAGGCCTAAATCGATATTTCAATCACGACGATCTCGCTCGCGATACGTTGCTATGTTATGATTGTAAGAGTTATCGACGCATGCGCGTTTGCCGATTTCAGCTTATCTCGTTGTCAAGTAGGTTACATAACGGTGAGATAATTACGATCGCGGCGAGGAGGTCTGTACCTTTGATCTTCGCTCGATGTTACTCCTTCTGTTCTATTTTCTCTATGGTATAACAATGGAAGAAAAATTACACAACCAAATAAGTTAGGGTCTTTACGAACCAATATTTTTGTAACGGGGTCCGGTATACCAAATTGAGAGCTAGAAAGGGGTATGAACCTAAAAATTCAAATGGCCGTAACTTCTAAATGACTTGGAATTGGCAAGTCAAACTTTGGGTTTGTTTGTCAGACATGTTGGTGCACATTATGCACTTGTCAATTGTAGTGCATAATTGTATCAAAC